CTATTTATCTAATACAAGAAATCGAACACACAATTTTTAATACGAATTACTGTAAGACAACAAATATTCTCAGATAAAATTCACCTTTTCGACATAGCAATTTCATTCCTAAATGTAGTCCATATATATCCATTACCTCTCTCCGTAAGTGGCGGCGGATATGCTGTATTCTTCAGTTTATAGTAATCTGATGGAGCATGCATTATGAATTCCATGCAATCCAATTTACGTGGGAGATCCTCTTCTGGTCCTATAATGTACGTCTGAGGACTGAATCCTTCGTCAGGTGGTGGACTACATGCAAATTTACAACTGTTATATATTCCTAATCCAGGCCAATAAATTAAACCCTTATCATTTTAAGAATAAAAGACCAAGAATATTTTAAATAAATGTTTCGTATATTTGTTATTATTAAAAACAACGAGGTGCAAAGCCCTACCCCTAATTATCAATCAGACGTTTCTACTTAGCTGAATTTTATATTACTACTCAGAATTAAAAGACAAATATCTAGCATCAACAAATAAATCACAAACAAAAATCTATTTTTAGCTTCAATTAAGAAATCTATTAGTTACACAAGTACTGAATACATTAAGATTTCATATTCTATTTGTCTTCCACAAGAATTTGAAACACTAATGTGTAGCCAAAAAATATCAAAGTGCAATTACAAACGTAGATAAAAAGTAACTCAAATTTATTTCAATATCATTAATATTGTTAATTCATTCCAAAATTCTATTTTAATTATTATTTTTTTTAATATCTAATCTAATCTAAGTTACTATTTTAAATGTAATACCATTAAATATACTTTATTTACATCATAGTACAAATATTATTCTGTTTCACTATAGCTAGTTTAACTCTGGTTAATAAATAAATAATTTACCTTGCTGTTGTAGGCAAAAGCCAGGTAACAGCAGCGCTTTTTTCACAGTATTGATCAGTGAGTAAACCACGAATTTGTGCATAATAAATTCCACCATTGACATCCTGCATAGAAACTATATCGCCTACTTGAAAATACGTTCCTTTATAAAATACATAATTACTTGTAATTGGGGTTGCTGTAGCAGTTGGTGCTTTAACTGGCTGTAAACCAAAAAGTAAAAACTATAATGCATGTAATTTTAATTCCTAATCAAAAAATTTGGACAAACATAAAACACACAGTTTTCTTAAATAAATTTCTTCTTCCTTTTCCTTTAGGTATAATCTTATGTGGTACAGACTTAGAATTACAGTATCTTGTAATTCTTGTACTTCTTCTAGTAGGCTTTAATGACCCTGCTTTATCCTCTTCTTCAGTTTTTGCGTTTGAACTTGCTCCAGAATTTCTTTCCTCTTCAAGACAGGTGTTACAAAGGTTACCAGCTTCGGTTGAGTGCCAAAGCGGGGTTTCTCGAGTCCCACACTTGACACATTCAGGTTTACTGCCGAGTGGCATTGAACCTCAATTAATACCGTCTCATTAATTTATTTTTCCACTGATAATTAATCTTCAAAATATTAATTTCAATCTGATTTTCGTTCTTTTTGTCACTTGGATTCCATTGAATATCATCTTAACTGTACAGAATTGTAATATGTAATAAGCAAAATTGTATTTATAATACTATAATAAACATGAAAACTGCATTTTTCACATATTATTCATTACTTGTTAGCAGTATTTTCTAATTTCTTTGTAAATTTTCTAATTTCATTGTGGTCATAAAATTCATGGTAAATGCTAAATCGTTAGATTAAGATAACGGTAGTATGGTATGAATGTAACTGTACATGTTTCCGGCGGGCTTGGATAGTCTTTTTTAAACGTGGGAATATCAAGAATACAGCACATTGGGACATGTTCCATATGTTTATTTAAGATTGTTTTAATTTAATGCTGAGGAAATCCAGTCGCGTTGGACATAAAAACATAAAATGTGTTCCTAAAAATATAATTTAAAATGTTACATTATACTCCAGACAATTACTGTTTTGAAAAATTATTACTTCACTATACCCAGTTAGCCAAATCTGCAAATGGCAGGATTTCGGTAGACCTACTGCATGATCTAATGGTAGACTGGCTGCAGAATGTGCCAATCCCTGACATCAGCATCTGACGGCAATCTAGCAGTAGAATGACTGCAGACTGCTCGCCATCTGCCTCCAGATGCTGATGCCAAGCCCGTTGCCCGTTGCTAGTATGGTAACAGAGTAACCTTCAGTATACTGAACGATACTGACCAAATAAAAAAGTCGATTTAACACAATAAAAAGATGGCTAAAGTAGGAAACTATTAAATTAAACAATGAAAATACGATTTCTTTATTACATTTAAACATTCTGATAAAAATATTTTAGTGTCAAAATATGTAATTAATGTTCGATTTCATTATCATCTCGCTGTCAGAATCATTGAACTACAAGTGGTTGAAGAGTATATACTCAAATAATCGTAATTTATCGGCGATTTAAAGTTGTTTCGTAAAATACAAAAATGACAGTCGATCTGTCAGCAGTGCCACTTGTTGCATTGTCCAATGAATCCAAACAAGTTATTTCGACATTGTTAAATCCACCTAAAGTTATACCTTCAGAAAATGGATTACCAAGGTAATTAGTACTATTTCCTTAGTTTGAGAGACAGTTTCGCGTCTAATTTTACCATCATTATACAGTGAAGTCTCAATTATCCTAATTAATGTGGACTAATCAAAACTCAGTTACTATATTATAGAAGTAATTAAATACAAGATAACAGTTTCAACTTTTCAGAAAAAAGAACTGATAGTTTTCTGTTTAATTACATCCCTTTCATTTTATGCTGTTACATAGGCTTACAAAGAAAATATCGTGAAATAATATAGTGTAGTATTAATATAAACTAATTTTGTCAATAGTAACTAAACCATCACTATATGATCTCTTACTAACAGATTTTATGTAGACTTCCACTTTATTAACTGACAATCAAAATAGCTGCTCCATGATACAATGTAAGTTCATCCCTGGCTGGTCATTCGTACCATTTCTAGGAATAAGAAGATTCAGTTGATCAAAATTTAGAAAATCGAGATTCTGCTATAGAACTCTGCTGTATAAAGATAATTTATACGGTTTATCCTTATTTAGGGACTGGAGAGGCCTTGCTCATTTGTGTAAATTAAGTGGAGAATTAATGCCATTGTTGACATTTCATGTCGATCCATCAGTATACATTTTAACTGTTTGGGGACAGAACCAGAAACATATTACTCTTAAAGATTTTCGAACAGTATTGGAAGAGATTGAAAGATGGGATATTTTAGATGATACAGTAAAACTTTTTGGTTTGTAATGCTTAAACATTTCTTATTTTATTTTATTTTATATCATATCACGTTTCATTTCATACCACGTTTATATTCCAGAAAGAGATGCTAAAAGATATTTGGAGGAACTGGAGAAAGCTCAGGCATCAGCTGAAATAATTGCAAATGACATTGATCAGAAAGTTCTTACAGTAGGCAAGTAAATAAAAGTCTTACAGAATTCACTTGTAATCGAGCAAGTAAATATTTTGTTAAAAGTGGTTGCACTGATACATTCGGGCAGCATTCAGTTGTATATAAAACTTGTACGTATTTGATCGTACTGTTTTGTTACTACAAGCGAATGCTCTAGATCAGTAGTGGCAAGCTTTTTTTTATTCGCGTGCCAATAATTTGCAAGTCCGAAAAAAATTAAATCTTGTTGAATATTATTGAAGTAATAAAAATTCACATGGAAATTTCACATAAATGAAGTCATGACAAACGAAATTGTAAATTTCATGATATGAAGCTAACAGATATTTTTCGTACATCGGACAAATATACCATACGTTCGTCATCAATGCTCTCTTCTGTCTCCTGCTTTAATTAAAATCATTAAATCATATATCAGCAAAGATATTTTGTTAATAGGTGATCTTCACAGGCTAAGGCAAGGATTAGAGAACCAATACTATGATGCTTTTTTGTTATATGCCGATGAAGATACGAAATTTGCTACAGAGGTGGTAGACAAGTTAGAAAATCAGTACAACTTAAAGGTAAAATTTATAATTCTTTCGCAGTGTTACAGTACAAACGTCAACTATTCGGTAAATATACAGGGTGTTCGCGAAATCGTGGTACAACCGGGATGATTCTTCACGTAAAATCTAGTCGAAAACGAAGAATATAGTTTTTTTTATACGGGGTGTCATTTTCGAGAAAATCGAGTTTGGAAATTCTTTTAAGCTTTACTCCATGACATATGTATATGTATAATAGATAATACAATTGATTTCAGCTTTGCTTAAAAGATCGAGATTTAATTGTTGGTGTAACGTTTGAGCATGAGGCTATAATGACTTTGATATCAGAACGTTGTAACAGATTAATAGTTATAATATCACCAAACTTTCTCAATAGCTCTGCAAATAAATTCTTTCTGAACTACGCTCAAGCACTGAGCATTGGTAAGTTCTGGTACTAATTTATTAATATACTTTAGAATTAATATAATTCTAATCTTTGATTCTAATGGAGTTTTTAATTAGATAAAAAGCAGAGGAAAATCGTGCCATGTTTGTACCAGAAATGTAAATTGCCACAACAGTTGAATTACATGTTCATATTGGATTATAATAGAGTGGGCCTCTATGACTTTTGGGGAAAGTTAAGAGACTCTGTGGAAACTCCAACCAGACTAGGAGAAAGCTTGAAAGTGTCTCTTGTAACGGAAGATGAATACAATAATGAAAGTAAAACGGATGCCGAAAATACGAAGTGTGCAGTATCTACAGAAGTACAAGAACTTGAGCTAAAAAATAGTAGTGATAAGTTGAACAAAGCAGAAATTGCACGTCACTCTGAACAATCGCCTCTTGGTAACAAAAAGTATGGTAATTTTCTGCAGTGGCCAAAGAAGAAATATTTTACAAAAACAGATAATATTAAGAAAGATTGTACGCCACCCACAGAAACAGTAAGTTTACCATCTCTGGAAAACATAGATTTATTAAAGACATCAACGGAATCAATGGAGAAGAAGCATAAAACTCAGTTTATAAATAAATATATGAAGAAAGTGCAATTAAAAAAGGATCTCATTAAGTCATAAACTATCGTAAATTACTGTTTGGTTGTTCACTACGTGAAAAGTGTTACAATTGTGGTATGTTTCGATAGTGTGTGATTTATAAATACGTCAGTTCATTAATAAAATATTCTTTTGCTTGATGTGGTTTTGGATTTTTTTCATGTAATGTATGTTCCATTCATAGAGATAATATAAATCTCATGTCATATTCCTTTTCGTAATTCGTGTAATAGAAATGAGCTACATTCACTTCATTACATACATACAAGGGGCAGTGATGTAAGATTTGCGGAATTTCGATCGCAGCGCGTGCGGTGAAGAAAAGTGAAACTAAAGGTCCTGATTTGCGGATTTTTCCGCCCATAGGCCGGTATTCACAGTCCGTGCTCAAGCAATTGCTTAAACAAGTTCGCCTTATTCGAATCATGGTGTAAAAACATAAGGTGTGTTCTTGCGCATCCATTTGAACATCCATCTGTACACGGACACTTCCACTCGTTGGCCATTTTGGATTTCTAACCAATCACGCTCTAAAACAGAGCGAACTTTAAAATCGTAAACATGTCAAAAATTAGGCTCGAATTTATAGTCGATTCTTGCACTTGGCACTCAGCACTCAAGTGCGTCCAACCGTTCCGCGTTCAATGTACACATTTATGTTATGTTCAGATTCTAAAAGTTTTATACTTCATGTTTGAAAAAGAAGTGAAAGAAGCGGAAAAGGAGAAAAACTATTGCGTAGCTATTCCGCTAATCTCACTTCTTTTTAAACATAACAATGGTCGGTATTCAGAGTCGTTGCTTATTCTTAAGATCGTCTTCAGAATTTGCTATCTCTGTCTATCCCATATTTCCAGTCCTTGTCTTGTACAGGGAACACGGACTTAAGCACAGCCTTCTTCAATACCTAGCCATGCTGAGAGTAAAATGGCAACACCGAAGGAGTCCGGCCCCGGCCTCCTATACCACCTGCCCCATCGGATTCCAAACACGCTCCCAACTTCCCTCTATCGAACTCTCGGTTTCCCGCCTGTTTTTCAAATGTTTCTTCTCCATAAGATAAACTCACACGAGGCTTCATATACACATAGCTGCTCAATTTCATTGTTACTAGCTGTACGTGTTGAACTTTAAATTATAGAGAAATAGTCAAATCGATCTTCGATTAGGCCTGAATGCATGCTACTCACACCCAGATTTGATTATTGCTCTATTTTAAAATTATACTATCGATAATTTAAAGCTGAATACGTACATTCGAAAACTAATACGATTTCTCTTCAATCGACTCAAGAATCTTATAATACATTCAATAGTCAGTACATTCCCAGTCAGTCAAACCTGCAAATGGCAGGATTTCATTAGGCCTGCTGCAGGATCTAACGGCAGACT